GAGGTAGAACCTGGACAATGGTAATTCACAGATGTTCACCAGGTGATTCTGAGTGCAGATGATTCTCAAGCAGGTCTCCGGAAAGTGTAGTCTGTGAACAGGTGGTGTCAGCATCATCTGGGAGCTTGAGAGAAATGCAAGTTCTCAGATTCCGTCCAGACCTACAAAAGTCTGGATTTTAACAAGCTCTCCAGGAGATCTGGATGCATGCTTCAGTTTGAAAAGCCTTGCAGAGGAACCTTTAAGGAAAGAAGATCTAGATCTAACTTTAGAGATAAATCTAAAAATTGATCTAAATATGAATTTATAATATATAATTATAAAAGCAATAATATTTGAATTTAAGCAGTGTCACATTTTCACTGAAGTTTTTCTTATAGCAGAGTAAAAACTAAGTTGAATAACTTTAAGTATAGCATGCATAGAATCATCTCATTTTAAATGACACCTGATATTATTTACGAGTGGTGAGAGTTGAGGTGATTTTTAGACTTCTTTTTTATACTATTCCACATTGCTGAAATTCCTAAAATACGTATTGTTTTTCAAAATTACTAAAGTGATTTTTCTCTTTAAAAAAACTCCTCTATATGTTTATTTGTCAAGGATGATCAGGATCAGTGTATCAATTTACACCAACCCAATTCACAGACTGTGAATCAGAATATCAACTTGTTAATTAACATATTCAATCCCAGATCTAAAACATATCATGCAGAGAAGGCATCTGATTTTTAGTGGATATATGTACTCAAGAGTCTAAATTACACACTAGAAGGCTGCTTGGTAAGTAGAGAATTACAGAAGAGGCAGTGAGTTGTCTTAGGAAATGTCTTTGAAACTATCACCACTAATGATTTGTCCTTCACCAAAGTAACTATTCTTTGTAAAGAACTGTTTTCTTGGTCTAAGATCAGGAGTCCATCTTCCCATCCTAAATATTTATCATAAGGTACAGTTTCCCAAGGTTATGATTGATATTGCTTACACCGGAGGAATTTCTAAACCACAAATGCAGAAGAGTCATTTCTGACAAGATTGTGTACCATCCCAAGGATGAGTTTAACATCTATGGCAGCTGAAATACCAGAATCTGGCATCTCATCCTTATCTCTAAATCTTGGGTTTATCTTACTTGGGGGTGATTTGAGCTTTCTGTGAATAAAATGTACACTGGTTTCTCTTTAAAACTTCACGAGGAATGAAAAGAGTAAATGTGAAGTAAGGAAGTAGAGCCTATGGCTAAAAAAGCAAACAAAGATATAATGAAAAACACAAATTCAATCTCAAGGCTAAAATGTTGATTAATTATTGTCAGCACATCCTGTTTATTAAAAAGAAATAAACATTCCATAAACATTCTACTCCTTTCTTGAACTGGCTTAAGTTAACTCTTTCCTAGGGAAGATTGGAGCAGAAAGCAGACATAATTATTCATGTACATGATTCCTGCTTTCCATTCTACCAGTGTAAATACTCCTTGATATGTTCATGTCAAAACTCAACTCACTTTTGAGGTTTTTTTTTTAGACAATCTCTCTCTGTAGCTCAGGATGGATTGCAGCGGCACAATCCCAGCTCACTGCAACCTCCACCTCCCAGGCTCAAGTGATTCTCATACCTCAGCCTCCTGAGTAACTGGGATTACAAGTATATGCCACTACACCTGGCTAATTTTTATGCATTTTTAGTAGGGGCAGGGTTTCTCCATGCTGACCAGGCTGGTGTCAAACTCCTGGCCTCAAAATGCTGGGGTTACAGACTTGAGCCACCACCACCACCACCACCAGTCCCCATGAGGGATATTTTTGTCTGTGGAAGTGAAGCCAACACAATAGTCCCATAGATAGTTTTTTGTTTTTTGATTTTTGGATTTTCTTTTTTTTGAATAAACAGAAATAATTCCTTCTAGTTTTAAAACTTGAAACTTACATTTGTTTTATCTGAATTCCTTCCTCAGGAAAGGACCTTCAGACATCTCAAAACAGAAAGTATCAAAGAACTGAAACTCATCAGATAACCACATCCAGACAGTGAATCTGGACCCCCTCATTCATCATAATTGCTTCCTTGCTCCTCCGTACTTCCTAGTTTCTGTTTTCTTACACATTATTACATTTCTTCCCTGCTATATACACCTCTAGTTTTAGTAGGTCAGGGAGATGAATTTGAGACTGAACTCTTTGGCTGTAGCAGCTTATTAAAGACTTCATCCTTCATGATAATTCTTGTCTCAGTGATGGGCTTTCTGTATGGAGAATAGCAGAATCTAGACCAAACCCCTGGTGTTTCAGTAACAGAAGTACTATCTTGTCCTAAATTGTAAGTAATTAAACTGTTATTACATGTATCAGCTAAGTTTAAGGTCTTAAAAATTATTATTCCATGGAGTTTATTATATGAGCTTTGAATCCTAGTAAGTTAAAACCTTAATTCTCCCACTTCCTGGCTAGAGATCAAGTATAAAACAGAGACTCCAAATTTACCTCATTTATGTAGCAGAAATAATATCACCTACTTATTTTGGGGGGTTTTCATAAGAATACATAGTAGGAGTTCAATAAATGAAATCCATCTGATAATCAAAATTGTTTAGGAGCACTCATCCAAACAATAGTTCACCAAATTGTGTTTGAAAATTTTCTCCTGCTTTCCATTTCTTAAATCACTGACCACACTTGAAAGAGGTAATCAGAAGACAGAAAGGTAAATCTAAATAATTCTTAACCAAAATTCAGATGTAAGCAAAAACACAACCACTTAAATGTGTTCAATTATTTCCCTAGTAGCTAATGTATCATAATGTATACAGACACATGCATATTAACAGCATTTTGTATAAATATAAAGCATACAAGGACATAGAATATGCTAGTCTACATCTGTGCTGGCTGTCGCTGCTTCTCCTTCTTCCTCCCCCTCCCTTTCCCTCTCCTCCTCCTTTCTTCCTCTTCTGTCTTCTGGTCGTCTGTCTTCTGTCTTCTTCCTATTTCCTCTCATCCCCTATGAATTTGGACTCCTTCTGTCTCTACATTTTTATCAGGGAAAACTCAGTCTTTGCTGTGCAAATGTTTCTCAGAGAGATCTAACTCTAGTCAGTGTCTCTTTCTATAACTACAGAGCTACTTTTCAAATACCTGCTTGGGATCTCTATGTGGACATCCTGATGGCACCTTAAACCAACTATGTCTAAAGTTGCATTTATGTTCTTATTCCACACAAATTAGCATCTCCTTCTAAGATTCTTATCTCTAAGATTGGAAACCTGAGCTAGGTTTGATTCTTCCTTTCTTTATATTCTATAGCTAAACGATTGATCTTAAGTCCTCTGCCTTGATATCCTAATTATCCAGTCCCTCCTTTGCATTCCTGCTTCCCAATGATTTCCCAACCTTCAGTGTCCCCCCTGTCATGTAACCTACAAAGTATACTTAGATGAACCTTCATCCTTAATCACAGAAGCAATAATTTACTTGCATTCTCAAAATCTCCCACTGGAATACATTAAATATAAACTCATGCTTGGCATCTGAGGCTCTCTACCACAGATTATCAATTTATCTTTTGGGACCTGTTGCTTTCTATTCCTTTCTTCCTGAGCTTGTGTTGAATGGCCCCACAAAGCCAGATCTTGCTTGCACATGTGATTTTCTTTGGCAAACACAGTGGCTTTATACATTTTGAATTAGTTGCTTATTTCAAATTAGTTGCTAACATGTATACATTGGAAGGTTTCCACATAGAAATCTAGATTCTGGTTTCTCATGAAAAGTTGGGATGTCTGGCAACTTTGGACCTGCATGGCACAAAGGGCTGAAGCTAGGAAGCCAGACTTTTTGAAAGGGAGAAACAGGCCCCAGTTCACTACAGCCTTCACCTGACTGGTGTCACTCAATTTGGTGCTGGCTTGGTACCTGCAGGCACGTGGATTTATAACACTTGCTTTATACAATCTAGGGCTCCAGCCAAGTGCAACATTCCCGAATGCATAGTGTCTTTACTTCTGTTTCCTTCTCTTTCCTTCTTTCCTGTCTTTACAGCCCATTTCCAACACCCTATCTTTCTTGAAGCTTTCTGTGAGCATCCTGCTGGATGGGACTGCCTGTTTGCAAACCTCTGTAACACTCTGTGGCTCTCTTATGGCCCAGAGCCCACCCTCCTTGGCATCATAGTCATATCCTTGCTTTCTCCCTGTTCCTCAGGAAGGGATTGAGATGTACACTTTTCCCCACTGCTCAGGCTTTTTTGAGAAGGGGTTTTCCTCTTGACCTAGACTTTCTTCCTCCTCACCACAGAGACAAAGAGTGTCTGTTCCCACCTCCCTTTCCCCTCAGGGACTTGACTGTCTACACAGTGAAGAGGCCCTGTCCTGCTTGGCAGTAAAGGCACTGATGTGCAGGTGAGACTGAGGGTGTCCGCACTACCTGTGTGTGTCCATCTGTCCGATTCTGAAGGCCAGTAATGGGAAGCCCCTTACTGTGACACATTTAAGACAGGGCTTCCCATCCTGGGCTTATCAGCAAACCAAGCTAAATTTTCATCATCCTCTGCTTGAATACTTACCTAGCCACTGTTTCCAAACTCAAGCAGGGAAAAATAAGACATTTTATTGACTGCTTTCTGACTTCAACAGTAAGACCTCACTTTTTCTTCCATCTTTCTCAGCAGCTAGCCCAGGTCATTGCATAAAATAGACACTCAAGAGTATCCAATTGAATCAAGACACACAATCAATATATGTAAAATTCATGGAATAAAATTTCTCTTATGCTTATTTTCCCATAAACCATAATTTATAGCCCTTCAACATAAATAAGAAAAAAATATAATTTCTCTGTAATGTTAACAATATACAAGTGACTCATCCTTAACATATTTATTTCCTATTTACATTTTCATTTGTATGTAAATCATTATGCATCGTATCACATAAAAAAAAAGAAAATATATGTTGTCAAAATCTGCCCAAAGAAAAAAAAGAAAATATAAAGCTGAAAAGTCACTGAAGAAAGCATAACACTGTGTGACATTTGTCAGCAGTCTCGGAGCTCTCGCTTCCTGCCTTTTTTTGATTTCCTGGTTGTTTCCTGACAAATGGTATTATATTCCAATATGGCCATTTTGGAAAGTCTCTCTAAGTATTGGGCTGATGCTCCAGTGAGAGGATCACTGAAGCCAGAACCTGGAGGAGGAGGTGGGGAGTCAGCTATTAAAATGAATTAAGGACACATGAATCATATTCCATTAAATATAATGTAACTTAAATATTTCTTCCACAAATGACTATTACATACTACTAGTTCTTATACTAACCCCAAAAAAGCATGGCACTGGCATAAAAACAGGCACATAGGCCAATGGAACAGAATAAACAACCCAGAAACAAATCTACACAACTATAGTGAATTCATTTTCAACAAAGGTGCCAGGAATATACATTGGGGAAAAGACAGTCTACAAATAAATGGTGGTGGGGAAACTGGATATTATGGATACATATACACAGTGGAGTACTAATCAGTCATAAAAAAGAAAGCCATCCTGTCGTTTGCAACGTTATGGATGGAACTGGAGATCATTATGTTAGGTTAAATTAGTGAGGCACAGAAAGACAAATTTCACATATTCTCACTTACTTGCGGGTGCTAAAAATTAGAACAATTGAACTCAGGGAGACAGAGAATAGAAGGATTGTTACCAGAGGCTGGGAAGGATAGCAGGGGGTTGGGGAGAGTGGGGATGGTTAATAGGTATAAAAAATACAAAGAATGAATAAGAACTAGTATTTGATAGCACAACAGGGCAATGATAGTTAATAATAATTTACTTGTACATTTAAAATAACTTAAAGAGTATATAATTGGATTGTTTGTAACACAAAGGATAAATGTCTGAAGGGATGGATACTCCATTTACCCAGATGTGATTATTACACATTGTATGCTTGTATCAAAATATCTCATATATCCCATAAATATATACACCTACTATGTACCCAGAAAAAAATTTTTAAACTACTAATTTTTGATATAACATATGTTTTGAATTAAAAATGCCATGTTTACTTTTTTTTTGAGATGGAGGATGGAATCTTTTTCTATCGCCTAGGCTGGAGTGCAGTGGTGGGATCTCAGCTCACTGCAACCTCCACTTCCCAGGTTCAAGTGCTTCTCATGCCTTAGTCTCCTGAGTAGCTGGGACTACAGGCATGTGCCATCATGCCCAGCTAGTTTTTGTATTTTTAGTAGAGACAGGGTTTCACCATGTTGTCCAGGCAGATTTCGAACTCCTGGCCTCAAGTGATCTGCCCACCTCAGCCTCCCAAAGTACTGGGATTACAGGTGTGAGCCACCATACTCAGCTTCAATGCTTACTTTCTAAAATGACTATGTGCCTCAAAAAATATTTATCTAAAATCTTTTAATGCTTGTATTTAAGTATATAAACTTATGTTGGTGCAAAAGTAATTGCAGTTCTAAAAATCACAATTACTTTCATACCAACCTAATCTGATTCTCTACTTTTTAAAACATGTGATGACTGAAATTTATTTCAAAGTAAAAGACACAATCTCCATAAATAACTCATTTCATATTTTACATGTCTACCAAGTTATTTTTCTTCAAATAAAAACATTTCTCACAAATGCTGAGAAGTAAAATTGTAAAGTAAAATAAAATGTTCACTTAGCTGAAATAGCATTAATCAAGCTTCTATCATAGGGTGGTAGTAATAACAATAGATAGCATTTTTGAATGATCTTTGTCAAGTACTTTACATCTGTTTTACCCATACAACAACACTATGAAGTAGTCATTTGTTCTATCTCAAGTTACACATTTACGGACTTCTGTTCTTATCAGTACAATGGACTTAACACTTTAAAAGACTCTCTAGCAGCAAAATAACTAGATTCCAGGCATTAAGCAAACCTGAAAAAACTTCAAAGAATCAGTATCATATGGACAAATGCAATTAAGTTGGAAGTTGTGAATAAGAGAAATTTAAAATTCTGAAATATTTAGAAATTTATACACATGTGTTAGTCCATTTTTATGCTGCTGATAAGGACATACCTGAGACTGGGTAACTTATAAAGAAAAAAAGGTTTAATGGACTCACAGTTCCACGTGGCTGAGGAGGCCTCACAGTCATGGCAGAAGGCAAAAGTCACGTCTTACATGGTGGCAGAAAAGAGAGAATGAGAACTAAGCAAAGGGGGTTTCCCCTTATAAAACCATCAGATCTCATGAGACTTATTCACTACTGTGAGAACAGTATGGGGGAAATGCCCCCATGATTCAATTATCTCCCACTGAGTCCATCCCACAACACATGGGAGTTATGGGAACTATAATTCAAGATGAGGATTTGGGTGGGGACAGAGCCAAATCATATCAACACACTTTCTAAGTTATCAGTCAAAAAAGAAATCATAACATAAAAAATATTTATTGCTAAATGATAAATATCACAAAAGTTGTGTAATGGAGCAAAAGTTGTATAGAGAGAGGTTTACACCCTAAAATGTCTATGTTAGAAAAGAAATTGAGAATTTAAAAGACAGGTATTAGATACACATTAGGAAAAGCGAAAACTCAAAGAACATAGAGGGAAAAAAGATAATATAGAAAAGAGGAGAAATCAATGAGGTAGAAAACAAAGTCACAATAAAAGAGATTTTATAAAAAGCCAAAAGTTCTTCACTGAAAAAAACTAATAAAAAAGAAAAACCACTGGTGACATTACTGTAGAAAATAAAAGAAGGCACAAACATATAATATTGAGAAAAAGAGGAACAGAATTACAGATAAAGCAAAGACTAAACCTTTTGCTAATAAGTTTTTAAAACTTAGACAAAATGCATAAGTTTCTAGAAAATATAACTTACCAAAACTGATTGAAAAATTTGAATGCCTTAAGAGTCCTAAATTTAAAATGAGTGAATCAATATTAAAAGATTGTCCCAAAGAAGACAAGTAACCCAAATGAATTTTACAAATGAATTTCCTCAAACTTTCAAGAGAAAGATCATTTCAATTTTAGGTCGTATTCTTCAGAGAATAGAAAGAGAAGAAATAGTCTCCAATTCATTCCACAAGGCCGTTATAATGTTGACACTGAATCCAGACAAGGACAGAACAAAAAGAAAATTCATGGCAATCTCACTCTACTTACCAACATAGGTAAAAAATCCCAAATGAAATATTAGCAAATTAAATATATCAGAACATAAACAAATAATAAACCGTTTCTCAACTGGGTGATCTCAGGAATGCAAGGGTGACAATGCTACAAAATCTGTAAATGTTATTCTTCACATTAAAATATTAAATAAAAAAACATGTGATCACCTCAATCAGTTCAGGAAAATTATTTAGTAAAATTCAACTTTCACTTAAAAGAAAAAAAACTCTAGCAAATTAAAGGGAACTTCTTTAACTTCATTAAGCTTATCTGTTCAAAATCTAAAGCAAGCATGATTCTTAGTAAGCAAACATTAAAGGGATTTATTTTAAAACTGGAAACAAGCCAAAGATGCCTATTATTCACTTCTACTCAATATTGTATTTGTGGTTCTAATTGTATTTGTGGTTCTAATCAGCTTAATAAAACAAGAAAAAGAAAGGCATAGAATTTGGAAAGAAGGAAACAAAACTGACTATTTATAGATGATTATGATAATCTACATAGACAATCTAATAATCTATTAATTATAAGAAATAACGTGTCTTTGGCAAGGTAGATGGCTGTAAGACCAAATGACAAAACAACATTTCAAAATACCCATAATAGAAAGTTAGAAATTTTAATTTAAAAAGAATTTTGGCAAACTATTAATCAATCTCTTAAAACTTTTTTCCTCTTCTTTCATAACAGAATTTTAACTGGGCACATGGCCCACCAAGGTATAGATTAAATTCTCAGCTTGCTTTAGAGATAATTATCTCCTTGTTACTAAAGATACTAACAGAAATAAATTTCTATTATTTATAAGCAACCCAGTTTACAGAATTTTGGTATAGCAGCACAAACAGACTAAGACACTTGTATTATTTATAGGTCTGCTCCTGTTGTCTGTTTCCCCTCTTGTTTTTTGTTATTCTTCTATGCCTAGTAAGTTTTGACTGGATGCTAGACACTGTGCATGAAAACCTATATGGCTCTGGTTCGTCTTACAGTTTTCCAGAGACAATTTCATTTTCTTGTCAGGAAGATCCATTTAATCCAGTCCAGACTGGGTTTTAGGTTTTTTTTTAAGCTAGTCTATTAAGCCAGTCATGGTGGCTCATGCCTGTAATTCCAGCACTGTGGGAAGTCAATGTGGGCAGATGACTTGAGGTCAGGAGTTTGAGACCAGCCTGGCCAATGTGCCAAAACCCATCTACCCTGGCCAACATGGTGAAACCCCATGTCTACTAAAAATATAAAAATTAGCCAGGTGAGGTAGCACATGCCTGTAGTCCCAGCTACCCAGGAGGCTAAGCCAGGAGAATTGCTTGAACCTGGGAGGCAGCGGATACAGTGAGCCAAGATCTGCACTCCAGCCTGGGCAATAGAGTGGGACTGCGCCTCAAAAAATAAAAAAAGAAATCCAATCTATCCTTGTTGGTATGCCTCTATTTATGGTGTACAGCCCTACGGGAGTTTCAACTGAAAACCTAGAGTGTGTACTAACAGCTCTCCATCTTGGCAGGCCTTAAACTCCTGCCTCTGTTTCCACAGCAAATGCTGTTACTGAAATCTCTATGCTCAGTTCTTAAGCATCCTAGAAGCTGTTTTCTGCTTGATTTTTTAAAAATATTGGCCCAGTACACAACTACTTGGGAACAGACAAATACTTGCAGAGGAAATTATTCACAGAATTTGGGGTTCACTTCTCTTTGGTTATTCCTTCATATGTGGGTCTCTCAAGTTCTGTCTACTGGTAAAGACAGTCTTTTAAAAGCTATTTCATCATAGCCAGAGGAAGTTCTCAGGTCATTTTTTTTTTTAAGGTACAACTATTGAAATAGATGACAGAGGCCAGGCGCGGTGGCTCATGCCTGTAATCCCAGCACTTTGGGAGGCCGAGGCAGGTGAATCATGAGGTCAAGAGATCGAGACCATGCTGGTTAACATGGTGAAACCCCGTCTCTACTAAAAATACAAAAATTAGCTGGGCATGGTGGTGTGTGCCTG